AATGTTTTCTCCTCTTTTAGTTATGCAAGTTTTTTTCTCCCTCCTTTGTATGGCAAGAACTTACTTGCATTTATGCATTAGCACCTCTTGAAAGGTACAAACTATTTGATCCGATGGATTTTTTTTTCTTGAAGAAAAAGTGAAAATGGAAATCATGAAGTTAATCAAGGAGGTGGGACTTGCAAGGAAAATTAGCAATATTATGCAGATGAATATTCAATTATATAATATTAAGGTTCTTTAATTTTCTTTTTCTTTTTCTCCTTTTCTTTTTAGTTTGTTTATTTTTTTAAGAAAAAGTGAAGATAGAAATTCATGAAGACAATCGTGGGGGTGGGACTCACAAGAAAAATTAGCAACCTTATGAAGATGAATATTCAAATCTATATTAAGGTTCTTTACTTTTCTTTTTCTTTTTCTCATTTTCTTTTTAGTTTGTTCCTAAACCCTACTCACAAAGTCAAATTTTTTTATTATTATCTTTTATTTATACGATTCTAAGTTTATATCGGGTATCAAATTTTAGGTACTATTTTTGCACCTAGAAAAGAAAGTGGATTTCAAAGTACAAATTCCTAGATTTATGACGTGTAAACAAATTAAATTTTTAGTGCTGATATAACACCAATGATGGATAATAAACATCACAATTAACCTTCGAGGAAAGTGGCTTTTCTAGAAGAAGTGTGCCATTCTCAGATACTAGAGTTGAATTTTGCTGTATCTACTTCTAATGTATAATTTATCTGGATATTTTTATATAAAATTTTTAGAAAATAAGTTACCACGAATGCCTCAAACAATTAGTTTAGCTTGGCTTTTTTTATTTTTAATTTTTTACCGCCTACTCCGCCTTACTCCATTCCTATCTTCCAATTGTTTAAAATTTGAACCCTAAACCTGACAGTAGGGAGATACTTTAGCTTGCTTTTGACTTTAGGAAATAAGTTGAAAGGTTTTTTGATTATTTATGTTTAGTTTTGTTTCCTTTTTTTCCTTCTTTTTTCTCTATATTTTAATGTAACTTTTTATGTAAATCATTTCTAATTAAGTATTTGTCCTGTTGGGAAAAAGATAATATAAGCAAAGTTAAGGAGTATGGTAGAGAATTTTGAATACATAATCCAATACCATAACACTATTTTGGGTTTCTACATGGCAGAGGATAAAATTTTTTGTTATTGCATTTTGTTTTCCACCTTTTTTGGATTACTTTATATGTCATACATCAAATAATGCTTCTGATTCGATTTTCTATGAAATTCATATATTTAGCCTTTAAATGGAAAATTTTCTTTATTTGTTTATATTTTTAATATTAAGCTATGATTTTTTTCTTTTTGATTGAAAAAAATCACAGCCTATTGTTAAATAATAAATTCTAATAATTTTTTCCTTTGCTTTTGTTTAGGATAACACCCTTACATATAAATTGATAGAAAAGTGAAACTTTTTTGAACTTTTATGATAACACCCTTTTAGATTTTATATAAATATTTTATTATTTCCTTCAATAGACAAACACATACATAGCATTGGTCAAAATACTAGTAGATATAAAGGGAGCCAAAGGGGTATAGTGTTAACCTCTTTTTTTTTTGTCACTTCTAATTTGTCATTATTCACCATTCTACTAAAAAGCTAAGGGTTTGTTTGGTGTTATGATAGTGTATTGAAAAGTATTTCACCTAATTAAGTTTTTAATAAATGTACTTATTAAGTGTTCAAGTACTTTTAAGTATATTGTTGAGATACAGAGTTCAATAAGTATTTATCGTATTAAATAAAGTGTAATTTTTAATTTTTTAAAATGTATTTATCTCTTTATTTAGTTCATAATATAGGATAAAATGATTAAATTTAATGTTTTCTTTTGTAAAACACAAAAGCCATACTAAAAGCAACAAATTTTAAGTTTTACTAAAAGTGATTTTAACACTAAAGGTTTCACTTCTAATTTTATGAGATGATATTTAGCAAAAATCTCAAAAATACTTTTAACATCTAAAAATATTTTTTTACCAAAATATCACAACTCCAAATGGGGTCTAAATAGTGAAAACTCCAACAACAGCCAATAACTTTTTTTTTTTTTTGTCAAACAATGCAAAAAAAATCACATTACACATCCCAATAAAACCTTTTAGTGACTACGTATTAACTAGAGACCATTCTCGAACTGTCACCGCAAAACCAACAACAAAAGGCCATTCATCTACCTCTCCCCATTCTCAAAGCTCAAACCATGGCATCCCATAACCCAGTATCTGATCAGCCTCCCCCTTCCTCACAATCACGTGATGAAGAAGAACCGATAACAGATAAGCCTTCTTCAGTTTCAACCGCTACTACAGGCATGGTTTGGAGTGATGAACAGGCGACTAAACTTCTCCAATGCATGATAGTGTTTAAGGCCAAGAAAGGGGTTGATGCTGATGCTGATCCGGCGGCTTTTCATCAGTTTTTCGAACAGGAGTTTCAATTTGGATATTCCAAAAGTCGGGTATATGAGAAGGTGAGGCGTTTGAAGATGAAATATTTCAATAATTTGAAGAAATTTGAGAAAGTTGGGAAGGACACTGGTATTTCTAAGGCTGAGCTTCAAACATTAAACCTTTCAAGACAGATTTCAAGTGGTAGATCTGGTGTTGGTGATTTTGAGTCGAATTATCCTCTTCTAAGCCAATCATTTGAAGTAGATTCCAGAGGCGTGATGAAATTTGCAGGTAAAACTGGTGATGAACTTAGTTTCTTGAAAGAGAACATGCATTTGATTGGTGATGACAAAGCAAAGGAATTGGAGCAAAAGTGGAAGACATTGCATGCAGTATATTTCTTTAAGAGCTTGGAATTGATGAAAGAGCAAACTAGCCTGATGTTGGAAGCCACGATGAGAAAGAAGTAAATACCAATTAGCGGTCGGTTGGTTACTTTTTTGGTATTAATAGTCTTTTGAGTTTCAGGTTGTATTAATCCTGAAATTTATAATCCATGATTTTTAGTCTAGCTGTGGAAACAATTTTGTTCCAATTCTGTCACTTCAGGTTTTATAAGTTCTTTTGAATGCTTAGATCTTTTGTGGTTGCAAGTCGAGTTATAAAGTATTACTAGTTTCTTGATCAAGTTGATCACTCCTTTCCATGTATTTTCTTTCCTGCAATGCATGTACTAGTGTTAATACTATCATTCTGTAATTTCTTATACTGTACTTACTGGCTTTTATGAATTGGTGCTTTATAAATTGTCCAATTAGGTTTGTTTATTCCTTTATTGCCTGGTGACTATCTCCAACTGTCACTGGTGAAAACTTCTTGGTGAGCCAGTTGCTTGCTCAAATCAATGTAAGCATATCATGGCTGAGGATTGTGAGTCAATAGGGGAAGCTTTATGCCAAATGTCTCTCACTTCTTATGTCGTCGATATACTGCAGTTGGTTTATTGGATCTAATTACTGCTATTGCTGTTGTTCTGCATAATCCAATGTATGCTTTTAGAGATTGGACAGAGAATTTTTTCCTCATCTCTGTTTTCTTATAGAAAAAGAGTCCTCAAATACTGATTGGTAGAGTTTAAATAACACTAAAAATATCTTTATGCCATTCTTTTCAATTGTAGGGTTCATCATTTGAATTGTTTAGAGCCAGAATGCCTATGATTATATGATGACCATCTGATTCATTACTTCTCAAATCAATAGAAACTGTTTGTTTAATCCCATTAGCTATGTCATCTCTCCTATAATTTATAGGAATCAGAAATTACAAATTTGAGAAAAGAGAAATGTATAAATGATGATGATCTCACTTCGATAAAAGGCCAGAATAAACAATTTCAAGAAGCTTCTGCTACTCAGCAACTTCAGCCATTTGCCATGTCAACAGGGTAAGCAGCCTCTGAATCTGGGTAGCCTAATTTGCTATCCTTTTTACCAGCCTTTGTGGTGAAAGTCCTCCTGCAGGTAACGACATACTTCTTTAATATGTCATCTTCTGTGGACAAATTGAACTTCTTCCTTATTGATTTTGATGCCCGCTTTTGACCCTTGCCTTCTGAATATCATTAAGTCTAGGCTGATCAATTTCACTTTTCTTGCCAATGACCAAGTTCATGACAAACTTCTGATAACTGTCTCTGGAATCTCTTCTTGACGAAAACAAGCACTACTAATTGCTAGAGCTGGAAATGATGGAAAACAAGTGGCAGTGGAGGTGGCAGTGATGGCTGTGGCAATGAGTAATGCACAGGGGGAGTCAGGTAGAAGCTAGGATTCTTGGGAAGGGTTATACTTGGGATCAATATCTCTGGTTCCAAATAAGTTATATATTTATTCTTTTCATCTGGGTTGTAAATGTGTCGATGATGCCAATCCTTATAGTCTCAGAAGGGTTATACTTAAGATTATTGTCTCTGCCTAAACTACGCTCCAATGGTTACTAAGCCGATGTCTGAGATTTTCTTGGGTGTTGGTTAGTTTGGCTCGTTGTCCTAAATCATTCCCAATGGCAATTAGAATTAATCATGCATAAAATGTTAATCTTTTTTTGATTGGTTAGAAAGATTTTATGGGTTGAAGTTGGCGGCTCACCTCTCTACAGGGTTGAAAGGAAAATAGGTGAAGGTAGCTTAGAACAGGTATGCAAGGGACGTCTTTTTTCTTGTGAAAAAGGTTCGGAACCTGTGGAGGTATTTTCTGTTTTTGGTTGACCAAGAGGATTCATATTGTTTCTGTTCTCAACTATTTATATTGTAATTTGGAAAAGAAACAACAATTGTATGAATATTAACATTGGTTCCATCTGAAGAAAAAAAAAAGAATTTCATGTCTATTAATCTTGCTAGATGAATTTCAGGTTGCCCAGAAATTTGAGCACAAAATTAAACTGGTGGGTCTTATCAAAGATGATTATCCAACAGAGTGGTAGATTTATAAGTACGACTCTTGATTCATTTTCCTTACCTGATATTTTTTCTACTGAAGAACTGAAGTGAATCTTGTTTCTCGCTGAACAGCTCCCTTGGAGGTGGAGGAGGTACACATGGAGCGCCTACTGTACATTATAAAGGAATACAAAGAAACTACTTCATAATGGTAAGATTGGAAGTGCTGAATGGATGTATCTACTTTACTTCTACTCCACAATGTGGGACGTATCAAATGCTGTTGTCTTCTCATGCATCTATGAATCTTTGATAATTGGTCATGTTTTTATAGGTCATGGAACATTCCGGACCTATTTTGCTTGATGTATGGAGGTCTGCAAGAATAAATTAAAAGAAGATGGCAAGTATCTTGACATGCCTTGTTTTACTTAGACAAATATCTTCTGAACCTTGTTTTGATGCATTTCATACATATTTTTTCATTTGAAAGGAGTTTGTAAAAAGAATTTCGAAAATCATACTAAAAACTAAAAAAGCTTAACTTTAGTAGATTATAACCATAAGATGGAAGCTGCTAAAAACCATCTCCATCTGGCTTTCATTGTAGGTGAAGAAACTTGATAATCCTCATAATCTTCCTTTGTCATTAGATTCCTGGTAGTATCAGAAATTGTCTCTCAAGTTTGAATAATTGTACGGCGCTCCATCACAGGCCAAGAACAGTTTTTGATGTGGGCTATGAACTGATATTGATATCGCACTCCTGTTAGTTTGAATCTTCTACTGGCTCTGACCCTTGTTGACATCACATCCTAACATGCCTGGCCTTGTTGGAGCCATAAATGTGGCCTGTGCTCAAATAGAACATCATTTTATGCCTACAACACTATCAAAGTTCACCCTGTTTCTGATAGCTATAGGATTGCACTCTTGTCTTTTCTATTGGCATATTAGTAATATGTCAATTTTTTTGCTTTGGCTATGCCTGTGGTTTTGTGGCCTGTTCTCAATGCTAGTTCCAGAGCTTTCTTGCATACAAACTTTCTTTTTCAAAGAGATACACTCAAGAGGGTATCCTACTGTCTTTTCTTGTTTCCTTTTTCACTCTTCTTAAGGGTTGAAGGTTGTCGGTGGTATGCATTGAATTTGGTTGGCTTCTCTTTGAATTCGTAATTTATAACTTAGAATATGTAACTTTTTGAGTCTTAGGTATGTGAATGGTGATATAAAGCCTCATAACCTATTGCTTGGCCAAGCATGAACACCACAAGAAAAGAAGTCTTTTGTCGACTTCGGAATAGGTCAGATAATGTGAATATTGTCCTCTCCTAGTCACAAGCATTTATCCTTTTTCACTAATATCCTCACAAATTACAGCAACTGAGTGGAGAAATAGCTGTGAGGGTAAACACATTGAATACACTGAACATCCCTGGCACACAAAGTGAGTGTTAGCTTTCATATGTTCACAATTTTTCAATTAACTCGTCTGCTTCTATAGAAGATCTATCCTCTTTCTGTGCAACTGTCCAGAGGGACTCTTGAATTTGCAAGTGTGCATGCCTAACTTGGGAAGGACTGCTAGTCAGAGGGATGATTTACAGACATTTCCTTAAACACTTATTTTCCTTCTGAAAGGTAGGTTGCCATGGAGGAAGTCAAGGTTCTCAAGAATAATTCCTTTTTCCCTCACTTTTGGATCCTTCCTCTTCTTCCACTAGTACGCTTATTTTCCACTCTGTGTATTATCTAAAGGATGAGGAAACCTTTTTTCATGTCAGCTTGGAGGAAAAGTTTTCAACCTCACCTGACTTGTTGTGTTTCTCGTGCTATGCCCCTTTGAAAGAGTATCTGGGGACTGTTCTTGATTTTAACTTTTCTGAGGAGCCCAACTATTGTCTTCTACTATATGTTATATCCATCTTTGATGGTCTTATTGGAGCCAATTTTGCCACCAAACTATTGAACACAGATGGTGCTCAAAGGTGACATGTGTGGATGGTTAGGTAATTGTGTAGTTTATTTATCTCATATTGACACTTATTGTGATCTTAAGCTATAACTGAGGGAATTAAGCTTTCTAAATTCTCATGAACAAGTAAGGAAGTTAACTTCAATGATAAAGCTAATTAGGTATGACCAGGGTTCAGAGGTTTGATGAGTGAAATGCCTTCTTACTAGTGCAGGATAAGGCATTTTTGGTGTTACAGAGCCCGCAATTGCATGTGTACGTACTATTTATTTCCCGTTGTGCTTGAAATTGCAAGTATTTATTTGAGTATTGGGCTTAATGAACTTAAGTCTGTTTTTTATGGTTGCGTTGGTTTATCAGGTCTTAATTCCATGTTCGCTTTAGTGGATGTTGCATGGTGCCTTATTGTTGACAAGATCCTCAAGCCAAATTATATGCAGATCAAAGGTGTGGGGATCTTGTTAATATCAAATCTCTGATGCGAAACAACTTCATGAAATTCTACAGGCAAAGTAACTTCATGAAAGCCTGTGTGTGAACTGGGCTAAATGGCTCAGGAACTTTTGCTGTCATCTAAGTTGCCATGCAAAGTTACTGAGGTAAATATTATCTGGGAGATTGAAATAGGTAATTTGAAGTGAGGACTCCTATGTGAAGTTTGTTTTCTGTTTTGTTGAGCAGGAGAACCGGGCAAAAAATCTCTTCGTTTCTTGTTTGTGCTATGGACAAACATTGGAATCACTCCGATGATCCATTAAGATTTATCAGAGGCAGAAGATTTCTTCAGTGTGACAGATTTACTATAACAACTTATTATCTTTCTCATGTTTCCTATTCCCATAGGATATTTCGTTTTTATTGTTGCAAGTTGGTTGCTGTCATTGATCATTGTTTCTTTCCTTTCAACAGAGGAAGTCAGTTACTTTTCTTTCCTTTGCAATTAGTTTGTTTGTTCGTTCAGAGAAGGAAAGGATGGGCTGTCATGAGAAGGAAAAAATCATCGAGGTGCTTATCTTCCAAATTAGAAGGCTAGCATAGGAGGAGTATTCAGGAATCATTGTGGTCTTATTTCAAATGCGGTAGCAGAAGAAATATGTGCTTTAAGGATTGGGCTAAGAATTGCAATGTCTCGAAATTTTGTTAACGAACACAAGTTTAAAAGGGTCCCAAAAAAAAAAAGGAAAAAAAAAATTGTGGTTTTAGCATACATTAGCTCTACGAATTTGGACTCAATCATTCACCTAAAACTCGAGTTCAAATTCAAACTTTAGCCCGAATTTAGTTGAACTCAGATTAAAAAACAAAATTAATAGTGATGGTTTTCAAAATGAATAAGACATACATTTCACTATTATAAGTATTAAACCTAACAATGACACCATCCTCGTTATTATTAGCTTTAGTATCATTCCCATTTGCTTACAAAAGGAACCGAAGAAGCAGAATTACTACTCAATTAAGGTCCGTCTAAAGCCCTCCCAACCTGTTTCCCAAGTAAATGTGAATCCGCTGATTCCAATCCCAAATTCACTGTTTTGGAATTGCTCTCAACTTTTCATGCAACTGTTAAATGCTCTGTTTTTCTTTTTTTTTTTTTTCCTATTTCTTTGCCTGTTATTATTGTTATTGGAAATGAAAGGAAAGAAGCAAAAAACTAGTGCTTCTGGAGCTTGATGATCATTGAAGTTCTTGTTATTTTCTAGACGAATTAGGTAGTTGTTAGCATACTTTATTGCTGGAATTTAAGATTTGTGGAGTTTATATCGGAAAACTAATCGCCAGAATTAGGAAATTAAGTGGACTTCAGATTAATTTATCGTGAATGCAAATTACACTGATTTCACAAATACAGTGTTCTTTCTCTCTCTCTTTTTTTCCTCTGTAATTGAATTCCTCTCTTTCTCTTTGTTATTTAAACCTTTGCAATATGCTATGCATTGGTATAAAGTGGTTTCTTCTCTCCTGAAAAAACCGTAAGAATGTCCAAAAAAATAGAATCCCAAAACCTTGGAACTTTAGCCTTCAAGAAACCACACCACTCTGGTGATGATGCCACAGTCATCACAACTCAACGTAATCTGAAAGGCACGAAACAGAAGCATTCTACTTCTCAAAATGACCCTGATTACGAGCCAGAAGACGGGTTGAAAATGTCCAAGAAAAAAAAGACTACCACAAAAAACCAAATTTCTGAACATGAGGCTAAGATTTTTGAGCTTTCCAAACAAGTTTGGGGTGATGGTGGAGTGCATGCTTGATGCGAAGGGCAGTGGAGATTCCAGGGGAATTCTCTCAAACAGGAGTTGCAAATTGGAGAAGACAACTCGAGGAAGAGAGATAGTATTATTGCAGAGATGAGAATAGGGAATGGGAATGAATACAATTGAATCTGACTGGTCAAAAACTAACTGACCTCCCATCCCCCTAGCCCCTTTTATATAGTCTCCTGCCACCGCCTTCTATTTCAGTACTAATTCTATTTTAGTAATCAGCTTCCTACACAAGCTTTCCATTTCTGCACGAGCTTCCCCTTTCCAGCTACTTAACTGACTAACAGAATGGCTGATGTGGCATAACTAACTCAACTAACCATCTGATGTAGCATAACAACTTTCTAGCCGTAATAACTCCAGCTAACAACATCCGGCCGAATTATTCCAGACATAACAATACTCCCTTCCTCAAACAGTTCTTGTCCTCAAGAACTGAAGTGAGGATACTGTTGATGGAGATCAAACCAGTATTCCCAAGTCGCATCTTCTGGGAAACTGTTGCTCCATTGGACCAACACTTGTGTAGCAGCAGTTTGTCCCCTGCGTACTAATCTCCTATCTAGAATAGCGACTGGTTCCATGAGCAAATGACCCTGATCAGTGATACGGGTGGGGATGTGTTGCTGCACTGGATGATCCCCTACATGTTTCTTCAAAAGGGACACATGGAAGGTGGAATGTATCTTGACCTCTGAGGGAAGATGCAACTTATATGCAACAGAACCAATTTTTGCAATGATCTGAAAAGGTCCAAAGTACCGTGGAGATAGTTTTTGACAAGAATGAGTCCGGAGTGAGTGCTGTCTATACGGCTGGAGCTTAACATAAACCCAGTCCCCTGGCTCAAAAGATCTTTCAGACCTGTTCTGGTCAGCCTGCTGTTTCATGCGATGCTGAGCCTTCTGCAAGTTATGCTTCAGCAGATGTAGAGTGGTCTCTCGTGCAGCTAGGCTCCTATCCACACTATCAACAGTAGAACTGCCCGGCATGTAAGGAATGTGCAAGGGAGGTGACTGGCCATAGACAACTTCGTAGGGGGTGCTCCTTATAGCTGAGTGAAAATTTGTATTGTACCAGAATTCTGCCAATGGCAACCAAAAACACCATTGTTTGGGATGGTCACTGCACATGCATCTCAGGTAGTTCTCTAAGCATCTATTAACAACCTCAGTCTGGCCATCTGACTGAGGATGATAAGCAGTAGATAAACACAACTGCAGCTTCAACAGATGGAACAATTCCTTCCAAAAGTAACTAATGAAAGTTGCATCCCTATCACTGACTATCGTCTGAGGGAGGCCATGAAGCCTATAGATATTATCTAAAAATATCTGTGCAACTGAGAGAGCGGTGTAGGGGTGTTTGAGAGCAATGAAATGAGCATACTTACTGAGCTTATCCACCACCACAAGAATAGCATCCTTTCCATGAGATTGAGGCAGTCCTTCCACGAAATTCATGGATATGTCAGACCACACACGTTCTGGAATACTTAATGGTTGTAGCAGACCCGGATATGCCACATTCTCCCCCTTATGCCTTTGACAAACATCACACGAAGCCACATACTGTTCGACATCTTTCTGCATATTCTTCCAATACACCAGCTCCTTAAGTTTCTTATAGGTCACCTGTACACCTGAATGCCCCCCAATGGGGGTATCATGCCACAGTCTAATGAGCTTCATCCTTAAGTCTGGATCATTTCCCACCACCAACTTCCCTTTTCGCCTCAGTTGCTGATGCTGATAGGTGTAGTGCACATGCCGAGGGTCATTTGCTGGGGCCTGCAACTGCTGAATAATGCCTTGCAACAAAGGATCTTGAACGCAACTCTGTTGAATCTCAGCAAGTAGTGCAGATCGAATGACTGATATAGGAGCTAATATTGCTGAACTGACAGAAGGCTGCCTGGACAGTGCATCCGCTACCACATTATCAACCCCTTTCCTATAGTGGAGTTCATAGTCATACCCCATAAGCCTGGCCACCCACTTCTGCTGCATAGGTGTGGACACCCTTTGCTCAATCAGATATTTAAGACTCTGGTGATCAGTCTTAATGACAAAGTGCCTACCCAACAGGTACGGTCTCCACTTTTGAACTGCACTTACTATAGCTAGCATTTCCCTTTCATATACAGAAAGACCCTTATGCTTGGTGGCCAAAGCTTGGCTAAAGTAAGCCAAGGGTCTCCCTCTTTGACTCAGAACTGCCCCAATACCATCACCTGAGGCATCTGTCTCTACTTCAAAGGTTTGAGAGAAATCTGGTAGCGCCAGCACAGGAGGTGAACTCATAGCCACTTTCAGTGCTGAAAATGCTGCTGTGGCCTGTCCTGTCCACACAAAGCTGTTCTTTTTGAGCAAATCTGTCAAGGGTTTGGCCAACTTCCCAAAGCCTTGTATGAACCTCCTATAGTACCCTGCTAATCCCAAAAACCCCCTTAACTCCTTCAGATTCGAGGGTATAGGCCATTGTTGAATGGCTTGCACCTTATGAGGGTCTGCCTGCACTCCTTCTCCTGAGATCACATGCCCCAAATATGCCACTTGCGGCTGAGCAAAGGAACACTTGCTCTTTTTTACTTTTAAACTGTGCTGCCGCAGAGTTCCTAAGGTGATCTGCAAGTGTCTAATGTGGTCAGGCCAGGTTGGACTAAACACAAGAATGTCATCAAAGAAAACCAATATGAACTTCCTCAAATAAGGCCTGAATACGGTGTTCATCAAACTTTGGAAGGTGGAAGGTGCGTTGGTCAGCCCGAAGGGCATCACAACAAACTCGTAATGTCCTTCGTGAGTTCTGAAGGCAGTTTTAGCAATATCATCCGCACACATTCTTATCTGGTGATAACCAGATCTAAGATCCAGTTTAGTGAAGAAATGAGATCCAAATAACTCATCAATTAGTTCCTCTACCACTGGTATGGGAAACTTGTCCTTCACAGTAGCTGCATTTAGTTCCCTATAGTCAATACACATCCTCCACGTTCCATCCTTCTTCTTGACCAATACAACTGGAGAAGAAAAGGGACTTGTACTGTGCCTAATGACTCCAGATTGTAGCATCTCCTGAATCAGCTTTTCAATCTCATTTTTCTGGAAGACAGGATATCTGTAAGGCCTTACATTCACAGGCATTGTTCCTTCCTTGAGTATGATTTGGTGATCGTGGCCTCTGTGAGGGGGGAGTTCAGAAGGTTCTTCGAAAATATCCCCAAATTGCACTAACAGTTCATTTAGCTCCCGTGCTTCAGAATCATGGCTCGGGTCTGTTACCTGTAATTCTTCCTCCAATTGACAGAGACTGCCTGTCTGTTCCTTTGCTGGTACCTGCGCAGGTACAATAAAGCATAACTGTGCAGAAACAATCTGCTCAGGCTTCCGCAGGATCTTCTGCATGGTCCTCTTTTGCACCACTTGGATGGCCTGCTGACCCTTCCCTCTCAACACCACCCTCCTTTTTCCCTTCCGAAATTCCATTTTCAGCTCTCCAAAGTTCCACTTTATATCGCCCAATGTTGAGAGCCATTGTACCCCCAGCACTAACTCACAACCTCCCACAGGTAACACCATAGCATCAGCCTTGAACGTCTGTTTGTGCATCTTCCACGTGAAATCAGGACACAGTCTATTGGTGGTGATTTTGTTGCCATCTGCTACTTCTACCACAAGTGATGGTACTTCCTGCACCTTCAGACCCAGTTTGTTGACTAAATCTGGATGAATAAAATTGTGAGAGCTTCCACAGTCAATAAAAATATTTACTGAGGTCTTCCCCACATGTCCAGTCACTCGCATTGTTCTAAACTTAGGGACAGCAGTAAGAGTCATGGCGTTTAAGGAAATGTGAGCCAAATTACCCTGCG